AACTCAGTACATTAGAACTAACTGTCTTCACGTTCGTAATGAAGATTCTGAACTTGATGCTGTCTTGATGCTGACAGTTGTCTTGAGTTCCATATGTTCTTCAACTGTACAATTACTGACCTTTGTTCGTCAACAGTCGCCTTTACGTCCTGCAATTAAATCATACAATTTCAACGATGATGCTACCAAGATATGTGAAAGTGTACAACTCCTCCAGAGCATCTTTATCAAGTGTGATTTGGTTTGTGTTCTCTGTGTCGTAGTTGAAGATCTTGCCTTTTCCATGTGTATGTTGTCGCCTACTGATACAGAGGCTCCTGATACACTGCTGTCTGGACCTGCATTTGTTGACGTGTATGAGATAGAAGTGCCAGGACATCTGCGAAGTCCAAATCGTTTAGTGGCATCCAACTCGTCCATTCTATTCCGTGCTTCCACTCAGATGTACAGGTCTTCATAATCCAATCAATCACCAGGTGGAAGAGGAAGCGACACCGTAAGCACACTTGTCTGACTCCGGTTCTCACTTCCAATACATTTGTCAGCTGTCCTCCATGCATGACTTCGCAGTGTAGTCTATCGTATGGATTCCGTATGATATTGACGATTTTCTCAGTTACATCATTGTATCGAGGAAGTTACCATATTGTTCTCCTATCCACACTGTCAAATGCTTTCTCACAACCAACAAAGTTGATGTACAGTGTTGAGTTCCACTCAACCGATAGTTCAACAATGACCCGTAATGTCGCAATTGGGTCTGTGCATTACCGATCTCTACAAAATTCATCCTGTTTATCTCGAAGTTGGATTACTACTGTGTTTTTCATTTGGTCCAGCAACACTCTGTTGAAAACCGTTTCTGTTACCGACAATAATGTGATGTGTCCGTGGTTATCACATTTGATCAGACCTCCTTTCTATGGTATCTTGATGAGTTTCCATTCTTTCCAACCTGTCGGCGACACTTGTTCTTCCTCTCAAATCTTCCTCGATACTTCTATGTCTGACATCAGTTGTTAGCTGGTATATTGTCAGTTTGTGTTGCTTTCCCACTCTAGATCTGTGTGACTTGTGTGATGACCATCCGTCGTTGGTGGAGTGACATCTATCGGAATGTCTGTAGGTGCTGCTTCGATATCTCGTGGATTCAATTCTGGTGGTCAGTTCAAAACCTCCTCGAAGTGTTCTACACATCTGTTCCACCGTCCTTGAATTTCATTGATTTTCTTACCTTCTTTCTGCTTGACCATTCTGTCTAGTTTCCTCAATTTCCCTGTTGGTTTACTCGTTATTTCATATAAATTTGTCATATTTCCTTCTTTCAGCAGCTGTTTACACTGTCGTTTCTAGCTCTTCCACATATTTCTGCTTTTAGGCTCTGATGCTCCTCCTCACTAGCTTGTTTACTTCTGTGTACTCAGCTTGTGCCTTGACTTTCTCTGTTTTTGTTCGACTGCTGTTAATTTTTCTCTTTTCGTTCTTCCTATGTTGCATCTTGTCGAAGGTTTCTATAGAGGTGTATTCGTTATGATGATGCGTTTTGCGGCCCAGAACCTTCTGACACATTGAAGTTAACGCTTCGACGGGATGGAGTTGCCAACCACTCCCCTTCTTTACCCGTGCTTGGGACCGGCAGTAGCCCCAGAAGAGTTAAACGCGGAGTTATTCAAATGGGTAACTATGTCATTGAAAAGAATCAAAGTATTTTCTATGTTCAGAAACTTCTTATGCCTAATTTACTGACTTTTTGTTTATAAAAAATATGTCACCGTGGCTTGTGTGATTCACTTTTCCTTTAAAAAAATTAGTAACAGCATAATTGGCTTCAAATCAACACTATTATTCACATAATTAGTGTTTAGAAATCCAATCCTTGTCATGTTTGTTCTTATTTACCTTCAGTTTTTTATACCTAACCTTCGTAACTAATAACATAAAATTGTTTCTTTGACGTACGTTTTCAGAAAAATTACAGTTTTTCTCCTTAAAAACGTCTCATCAAACAATTGATCGACAGAAAAACATATATATATATATATATATGCTCTGGTACGGTCGGGAGTGAGGAGAGTCAACTCTCCCTCTCGAAATGCTCTCTCATGGCCACGCGTTTATAGCCTCTGCTAGGGCGGTCCTACTTACTGCCTTCTCGTTGGGGTTGTTGTTTACGAGATTGAGAGGACGAAAAGCGAACCTCTGGCGCTTTGACCGGTCTGGTTGATATGGAGAGTCCACCTTGGGGAGTTGGAAAACCCTGATTCTAAAGCAATGGTGCACGTGAGCTCCAGTATCCTGAAGGAACAAATGTCGTATGAACCAATCGTTGGTCACCGGCTACCATGGGACTGCATCTCCTTACGTTGCTCCACTGCCTTGTGCATCAGACGTTCGGGTCGAACGCCCCCACCTGCTTCGGTTTGGGCACCCGGGCACTATCACAGCCCTCCCACATATCATATGAGTTCTGTGTGGTGCATGTATTTGGTGTCTCTTTGTACCAATATCTATGTGTTAAAATAAAACAAATAAATAAAATATCATTTTCTTCATATCATGAGCTAACGTATAAACTAACACTTTAATCTTCTGTTCCTGATAACAATTTGCAATTTATTACTATATGATATCTGTTTATTGATAGTAACATTAGTTCTTACAGTTCAGATGGATTAACCAGTTACATTTAAATTTAATTTCATCTAAAAAAAACTAGTCTTTCGATATTGTCATCACTTAAAACAAATGTTTTTTGCATTTTTTTGGTTGCATGAAATCTGTCTCCTCAGCATTGTTCGTGAATTTAAACGATTATTGTATACTGAACGCAAGATCATTAATATTTTTTTCCAAAAATATTCAAATATATTACTTTAATAGTGTCAGTTATAACTGTTACCAAATTGATACTTACCTCTTGCATTGTAACCATTTGGTTGTCATGCCAACCCGAACATAATTACATTCAAAATAAAAGCATAACATCTCACATTTTTATTGTCACATATGTGAGTAAACAATTTAAATAAGAAAAATAAGTCAATAATGTTCTATATATTGTAGGTTTACGCAATAAATTATAATGTGATATAAGAAAATTCTTTTTTATTAGTTAAATTATTTATCGCTTATCACAAGATATAATAATTACGAAAGCTGATATTAGTATATTAACTTCACTGAGATAATTGAACAGAGTACTTAGTTAATCTTTGTCAATCAACCATAAGAAGTTTATCACATTTACTATAGTTTTAATACAGATTACTAAAGCTACAAATTAGTTTTAAATTGAATATCACGTTAACAATAAAGTTACAGTATATACGCACTGCTGAGGAGTCCCGTACTAGGACGAAACGGCCGTCCAGTGCTTCCACATTTTTCATGGTGGTCTAGCTTTAATTGACTCATGATTTCAATCAAAAACTTAACAATCTCCACAACACCTAAACTGAGAATATTAGGAATAATTGCTCTATCACCAATTAATAACAGTGAAATGGAATTATATTAAACTAACCATTTGTAAATACTGTCAATCAATACTAGGAGATAAAAAAAGGGAAACAGTGTATCAACGATATGGTTGAAAAGTAATGTTAGATACACAACTATTTTCCAACTGTACATAGTTACAAATCTCATTTGAAATTTATAAAACAAAAAGAAATAGGTGAATTCATCGATAAATATAACGTAATTGGATTAAATACTTGATATTCTGTTGGTAAAATAAATGTTCACATACTATCAACATCAGTAGAGAGAATTCTCTGGAAACACTACCATTTCTTTTTGAAATTTATTGATTTAACAATTCTGTTTTCCGATGTTCACTGAAACATTACACTATCGGAAAACATTAAGAAAATACAATGATTTTACGATTTAGACATGAAAATTTCCATTTAAACAATAAGGAATTAGTTATGAAAATAAGCTTCAACAAACTATTAGTTCAGAATAAGTAATTTATTGAAATGATAAGAAATAAGTAGTGAAATATACCTTATATAAATACAAAAATAAAAATTATAAAAAATCATCCTACTTAAAGTGTCTGTACTTTTCTAGTAAAGAACTTTCATTATCTTTGATGTTACATAGAATATATCTGTTACAAATTGATAAGCTTTCAGCAATTGATTTTTCCAAGTTTACTTGTCTGTGCACCCTACTATTTAAATTTATCATGAAATTATAAATAACTCATTGTTTGATGAATACAGTAAGTGAAAAACATATAAAAATTTTACATGAAAATTATAAACTAAACAAAAATGCCTTTTTGTTATTTTACTTGTATCTTCCCATTGTTATTTAGGAATGCTGACGAGTCCAAAATAGGACGAAACGCGCGTACTAGATTCCACTGCTAGCCACTATCCATCTTTGCTTAAAATGCATTGTGCTCAACTTTGTGAATAAATTCGTTTTTTATTTGTCTCGACGTTTAATTGGTCAGTTAATTGACCAATCAAAACGAAATAATAAAAAAAATAATTTCTTTAATAAAGATATCAGGCAAATAAACTTCGCAAATAATCTAATAAAACCATTTAAAATTTATGAATAACAAAGTATTACTTTGACTCCTCAGCAGAAAAAAATTATGATTAATTCCATCTCTTAGAATATGATGTACCTGGATCGTATTTCACCTTTAATAATGATAGGCTTGATTAACTGGAACCTAGTTTTATCTGAATTCATAGCATATGGATCTAATACTATGAATAAAAATACAGAAAAAGTTTTAAATTCTGTTATTTCTAAGAAGCAATCTGAATTACTAGAAAATTTAAGATCTTCATCAGCATCAATACATACACAGGATACTTCAAATGAATATATGTTAAGTGATCATCCATTATCTGTAATTAACTTTAATAAGCATCAAAAATTTTCGTATCTAAATGATATGCAACCAGAAAATGTTGATAATTCAAAACATCCATTATTATCTGATCCATTGTTTGATCCTTCAATTCTTACAGATACTGCTGCTCGTGTAATTCAATCCAACCGTTGTACAACAGAAGAACGTCAAAAACGTATACAATGTTTCGAGGTACTACCTGCGGAACAGTATGCCATACCATTAGGACATACTGTGAATATGCAATGTGTTGTTTTAAATCAGCATGGAAAAGTTCAATGGCGTGCAAAAAAAATACTTCTTGGTATGTTATACGTTTAATTCTAATTAAAACAAGTTTACATAATCATTTCTTCATTGATACAAAACACTATTTTTAAAATTGTGTACTTATCAGTTTGCTAATTAAATATTTGTATCTTGAGACAGCGGTTTAAATGCATGTTGACATTGTGAGTGATTATAGTATCTAATCTTATAAAAATCCATATCTACTCTTTAGTTTTGAGGCTAAAACGATTAGAAGTGTATAAACTGTTAATTAAAAGGATGAAGTAAAACTGTGTCTGGTGTAGGGCAGCTACTCAAAGAAGACAATGCGAGACGGTCGCGCAATATCATGCATTGATTGGACTTAGACATTCCCACCACTTAATACCGGCCCAATTGTCTAGAGGTCAAGTGTTTGCGCGCAAGACCGAAGATCCCGGTTTTGAGCACCACCTGTGGGATCATGGATGCGCAATGCTGAATCTCATGCTAGGACGAAATGGCCGTTCAGTGCTTCCAGGTTTCCAATGGTGGTCTAACATTGATTCATTCGTGATCTCAATTTAAAACAATTTTGTCAAATTCTTAAATACACCAGTAGTATTATACTAAAATATTACAATAACATTATTACATACTATGATACTATAGTAGGTGTTAAGTTCTCAATAAATGTAATCGACCGTAAAGCAGTAATGAACTAGTATTACAAAACAATTATTATTACTGATTCCAAAATGGTTCATGATTTTTTGAATAGTGAACTTGAAGAAAGAGTACTTAGTATATTAAATAATACCTAATCTATTTTTTGAGGTGTATATTCCTTGCATATTGAATTCTCTCAACTCAATATAAATTATATATACGTTTATTTGCATACATAATATAATTAGTTACAAATTCAGGTGATTGATTTTGATTAATTTATGAGTTCTAATCTGGATTAATCTGTTATAATGTTTTGTTGTTGTGGGAATTTCAATTTATCCTCAAAAACTTGGTTAATACTTTTCTTATTGCTTAATAATCAATTGATTTTTCTTGTTTTTTAATGTATGAATAAAGTTACTAAGTAAATTATATTCAGAAAAATTAAATATTCAAGAAATATGTTAAGTAGTTAATGTAATGATCTGAAATGTATATCCAAAAAGGAATAATGTAAAAAAATGGTTGTTAATTTACATTATATGATGATCGTAATATAGAAACCCTGAGAAACTATTGAAAAAAACTAAGGGTTGCAAAACAATTATTTTGCTCCATTTCAAATGTTTGCAATATTATCCATTCCTAATAATTGATTTGAGTTTAAATATTCACTGATTCTTAAAATTTTGTCGGCCCTGATTAAAATAAAGCCAGTTCTGCTCTAGTATAAAAGAGGTTTATATTTATGCTTAGACAATTATCTGCAAAAGACAATGATAGAGTTTTAACGTTCATTTTAATTTCGATTTCTCCCTGAGTAAAGCTTAATTATTAAGAAGCTACATGGATTAACCTTGCGATGAAACATTTTGAAAAAAAAACATTGTATATATATATAATTGTATCTAGTAGTTGCTTTTCAAGAATAGAAACAAAATGCTGACTGATACCGGTTGAAAAATTGGCGAAACGTAGGGTTTATTCAATAGATATTTGATCCTAATTTACAACATCGCTGGAGCGTAAAATCGATACTCCACAGACTATGAAATGAAACCGTTTAGAAAACCACCCTTTTTCATTGATACACTGATATTTTTCAGTAAAGCTTATTTGCATTATTTGGCATAAAACATTACGATTAAAAACCTTTCCTATGTTTGTATAACCTAAGACAAACATTAGCCACTTCTATGTAGAACAATGCTTTCAAACACCCAAGTGTTCATAATTTAAAAAGTCGTCTTTTTAATACCAACTCTATATGATAACCAATTACTTTATAAACTCTGAATACTCAGTACATGTATGTAAATATACATGTTTACCCAAAACATAGAAATAATACAGCTTGATTATTATGGATATTAAAACCTTACGACCGAATAAAATATATAGGAATCCTTTGACTATATCCATATATATCTTCACATAGATATCATCTTATCAACTAATTTAATATGAGTAATTATTCCTTAGAAGAATAATGATAAATTAACAAGAGTCCAAACAATGCCTGACCATGTATATTTAATTCAGCTTAAAAATACAATAAATTTAAGTTTAGAATAAAAATTGTTCATGGATGTTTTAATGGTTCAAGAAATGAAAATTTAACTTTCTTATATTTGATTTTTCTGTTTTGATCCATCTAATCAATAATTGATTTCAACTTTTTTTTATCAGAAAACCTGACGACAGTTCGCTCTTTATTCCATATGGTATCTTAGCTACAATTCTGAAAATAGTTCTAAAGCCAATACAAGAAATAAATAAAAAGTTCTTATCAAAATCCTATCGTTTCTAAGCTAACGTCATTGTATTGAGAAAAACTATTGTTGATTGTGATTTTGCTTTCTCATATAACTAGATTATCCACTTTAAGATATATGTAGGTACAGTATGACCACAGGATCAAATTTACTGTTGGAATTGTATGAAACGACATTTCATATTTGAATTTATTTGTGGTAATCGATTATGTCTTGGCAAGGGTGAATCAAATGATTATTCGATAAATTAAAATTATAATAGAAATAGTTAATACTAAATATGGTTTTTGTTATATCTCAATGGGTAGAAAAATTGTATTTCTGACGTTTCGTGACTTAATGTAGACCACTTTTTCAGAGTAAGTAAATAACCCAATGCTCAATTTATTTAAAACTATGAAGTCCAACCATGACATTGTCACTTACGTAATAGATATTGTCTACCAACTAGTTACGTCTTTGTATTGACTTGGTTTGTGTAAAATGAAATGAACATCAAGATATTGCTTTCATAATTTGTTTTCTTTACTTTTCATTCAAGTGAATACTTTCAAAAAATCAATAACTAGTAAAGAGATCAGTGAAATGATATGACTGTTAAATTCCTACCTTACCCATACTTCATATATCCTAGTTTAAACCTAATGAATAATCATCTATATGAATAGCTAAATTTATTTATTACTGTAAAAACAATTGAAGTTCTATATTATCTAAAGAAAATACTTTTTGTCTCATTATAAAACTTTCTAGATAACAATAAGCAACCAAATTCATTATCGTTTATATTTTCATCAATTTCTCTGTTTAATTAAAGATGATTTCAGTAGACTACTGATAATTAGTATTCAAATGAGAATTTAATATATTTAAAAATGAAAACCTTAATTATTGAATATTGAAAGCTGATTAAATTGATTATTCATTTAGATTTCATTGTAAATGAATACATGAACAATTTATTTACCAAATGATTACTGTTTTTTGAATATATTTGATCTACTTGATAATGTTGAATAGAGTGTGAACAATAAAGTTGACAGAATAAAATGATTTTCTCATATTTTGATGCCCTACATTAGTTATAAACAATCTATTGTTAATAAGAATAATCTGATTAGAAATAGAGATATTGTAGTGAACAAGAACACGAGTGAGGGACAATTGAATGTTTCTGAACACGAAATTACAGAACATCTCACTAAAATCTGCGAACAATACAGTAAATATTTAGTTTTTCAATATATCAATCAATTGTCTCCAACTTGACTGTTCTTTTTTGCAAATATCAGTCCATCGTCTCAGCTTTGATTGTTCTTGAATTTTCATATCAATTACTTTCCATTCTCCTTCTTTCCTTCTCGATCTTCTACTGAAATACATTTTATGCCTGACTACCATTATACACTACTTATGTGGATATAAGTAGCTCACTATATGACGTACTTCATGAATTTATGATGAATATTCGAATACGTGATAATTAATTAACAGGACAGAAAAGAAAAACAGTAGAACAAGATATTAATCGTGCTACTTATTTGTTGAAAATTGTCTTATGAAATGTAAACGCAATGACAAAACAATTACTAGTTTTCTTAATAAAAAAACATATAGTTCTGTAATCACCATAAGAAATGAAAAACAGTATGCAAGAAAAAGAAAGATCATTGAACTTGGATTACCCTCTTTTTTGTAAAAAAAAATAGAGTGGCTTAGAAACGCTTGATAATGACAGATTGGGCAATGCTAAGCCATAACATTTGTCGATTGTTAAGTACTTAGACATTCTGCTTCTCAAGACGGTTAGAGTCAAGAAGTTTATAATGTTAAAAGTATCTTATTATATATGAGAAATCGGTGTATTTCTCTTGACAAAAATGCAACAATCCATTAGGTATTTTATTCCTTAACCTTATGAACTATATTCACGTTAGCGAATTATGATAAATTAACAAATATCGTTTGATTTCAAATTCTCGACATCGTTTTGTTAGAAAAATCTGATAAATAAGCTTGTTGTGTTTATTGTTTTAAGCAAAGTTAACCCAGAATTTCGATATAATTTCACGATAAGTTTTGATGCGTGCCCTTTCTAGCTTAAAATATAGTGTCAGAAACTCAATTTCATAGATTTTTGCAATTCAAAGACATATTCTGTGCACAAACGTGAACATCTTACTTTCATAGAACTTTGACAATATTCAAACATTTCATTGACATCCAGTAATTCATGTTTTACATGTTTGTTAAAGGATCATACTAATGATTATTATAATATACAATGTTTTATATTATGCAATAAAATCATTCTCAGCAATAAATGCTGGTCACTTTAAATAATCTAGTATCATCGTTTGCCAAAACTAATACATAATTAATACATGAACGATTATATAAGAATTGATTAAGTACGTAAAAATGTTAGATTGGACACATGGCTTTAAACATTCAAAGACAATGTCATTCAGATGACGATAAACTGATCATGGAACTTTTGTTATTAAATCTATCAACAAAATATAACACAATAGGTTATCTGATAGATAATAAATAGGAAACTCGAAACATAGAATACATAAAATGCCTAAATAAATTAGTTTCAATT